ATCAGTGGCAGCTATATCTTCAGCAGCTTTCAGAAGCAAATGGACGATCCCCGCGTGCCCGTCTCTCGCAGCAATGTGAAGAGCCGTGTGACCATTCTCGTCACAATAGACGACGTGGTCGTACAACTGTGAAGCCGAGTCAAGATTCGAAAGCAGTCTAGCAATGAATTTAGTGAGCCCGGCTTTCACTGCAGCATAAAGTAATCTGGGTCTGCAAATGTGCAGTCCATGTGCGGAAGCTGCGAGCTTCATGAGCATCTCCGCCACCAACTCTGAATCCGAAGATATGGTTTCAAGGAGCAGCATGAAATGCAAATCGCTGTCGCCAACAGAGGTAATGTCAATGTCATTTTGCTCCAGTATCACCTTTGCGATTCCGAAATACCCGTTCTCAATGGCGCATTTAAGAGCATAACTTAGATTATCTCCTTTGGGCTCTTGAAGTATGCTGAGATGATGCAGAGGTCAGGTAGACAAGCTCGGAAATGTGCTGATGTGGTTTCCGTTGAGACGATTAGTACTAGTATCTCCCACCGCTAATATTAACTCAAATTCGCCATGTTGGACAACATACCCGCTTTAATGGCATCAACGATGTGATAAAAAGCAGGTCCGGGGTCTTTGAAAGAGAACTTGCAAAGGTCGTCGATCTTCACTACCCTGCGTCCTAGATTTGTTTCGTGAACAAGACCAGCTGTGGTAGCGTGATGGGTGCTGCAGTCTACATTCTGCTCCTTTCCCTCCGTACCGCTAAATTGTAGGTAAACGTTGACAATGCAGTGCCTCGCTGACAAAGAGACATAATCTTTTGTGATGTCTTCAATCAATTTTGAGATTGAAAAAAATTTGAGATTCCACATTGAGTTTCCGTCCTAAGCGTAGGTACCTGTGTCTTTTTACAAGAGGTGTCGAAGTTGCGATGCGGAGTGCCGAAGAAAATCTGGATTGATCATTAAAGTTAGTACGTTAGTGCATCATTTCCTCGGGCTGGAGAAGATGTTTGACTAACTATTCGGTTGCAGTCTCGTGCGATTTCATGGTATGTTGTACTCTTCTCAGCCATAGCCAGTGCCTGCGAACAAGTCAGTTCATATTCATCAAGGTGCCAATAGTAATCGGCGTTCAGCTTGCCAGTTTAACCACGACACCACCAAGTCCCTGTGCAATAAATACAATAGGACGTCTTGACTCCTTTATGACGATGAAAGTCAGCCACATGCACTCTTTCTCGTCCTGGGTAGTCGAGCTAAAGGTCCATGACTGTTGCGGATCTCCTCCGAGCCCGTGGACTGCGATGATGCTATGATTCTGGTTGAGTACACATTTCTAGGAATTTTGATGACGGATGGAGTGTTCTGCTTACTCTACGTTCGGCTCTGCGTTTTGTGACGGATGGGCGACGATCTCAAGCTGAGCAGGACAGAGTCCAGGTTTTGCATGGTCGACCATCTTGTCCGGTATTTGGTACCGCGTAGGTGTCCAGGTATTTTACCAGAGAGCAGTTCGGATTTGCTTAAAAATGGGGACTGGAGTGTTGAAAGCTATTTTCGGTGTGAAAGAAGTGGCGAGACCGAGAGAGATCTTTAAGCGCCCATGGTGCGAACCTGTTTGCGGTGAGTGTGTTTGCGGTGAGTGTGTTTGTGCTGGGAACGTGCTAAAATAGCAGCATTGGTGGACATAGAAGTGCTGCTCGGGACTTGAGGTACTGTTCATCCATCTTATGTATTATACTGTGTGGTATGTTGTGACGAGAACTACCCCCTGTAAGGACAGAAACCATAAGCCATGATTGTAGCATTCCCAACGCCGGTCATCTCAACTAGTCTAGGTACCTATTTCAATATTCCATGGGTTCACCTTCTGATGATGCATACCTTGCCCTCATTGCCTCGGCCTTCCTCTGAAATCCCAAAAGCAGTGCGGCAACCTCGCCGTCTTTTGCATACTCGAGCGGTGTCTTACCTACCGCACACTTCGCCAAGATGCCGCCGTCCACACGTGCAGCGAGGAGTCGGCACATGTTAAAGTCCCCCCTGGATGCAGCATAATGCAACGGAGTCATTTCATGGTCATCCCCCAGGCTGGCATCGATTTTGTCGACACAAAGTAGGGCTTCCACCATGGCAGTAGCTTCACAAGTGCAGTCGCCTACTCTCTCAGCAGCCTCAGCAGCTACAACCAGGGCAGTCTTGCCCCTAACATCTTTGAAATTGGTCCCTTCGCCACATCTCGGTGCGAGATCCCTGACCGCTTCTAGGTTTTCCCCGGTAACCGCCATGTGTAGAGCTGTGAAGCCAGCATCGTCTTTGATATTCAAGTCCAGTGCTGGATGATCTAAGAACAACTTCAAGTGGCAGCAAGTAGATACAGACCTGTGATCCTTGAGTGCTCTCATCAACGGCGTCCATCCATATACTAGATCTGCCTTATTGATATCGACTTTGTTGATTGGGTCTAGGAGAAGGCGTACAACATCGATAGAGTTATGGGAAATGGCGTATTGGAGTACGGATATTCCCAGGATGTCGACGCTATCACCATAGTCGGAGAAACCGTTCTTCCTAGCTTGGTCCAACAAGTAGTCGCAAATTTCCGTTATCCCTAGAGTGGCTGCATAATGCAATGGAGTCGCTCCAGTAATGGTGGTGAAGTTGATCAGGTTCGGCAATATCGCCAACAAGTCGATGACTAGGTCAAGGAGTTTGTATTTTACAGCGAGATGGATCGCTGATTGGCCAAATATTTCGACATTGACGAAGTCGCCTATTTCCTGGCTCCAGGAGGTTATCTTGCCGTAAAGAATGCCACATGAGGCCGACGCTCGGAGAGAGTGATGTCGACTTGAAGTCTCTATGCTGAGCCGCTCTAAGATGAGAGGAAGAATAGACGAGCCAAGACAATCCCGATGTCGCTTGAATTCCTCTATGTCGAGGTCGGTATATGCCATCCAACCGGCGCAATCGAAAACAACAGGGCTATTGATGACATTTTCCGGGAGACGGGATATGATAGCATGTGGGAGCTCTAAGACTGCTATTTTGAACCTTTTGTACAGGTCCCAGTATCTGAGAGCCGATGGCGTTTCTCCGGACTTAGCCGACTTGGATTGGATCTGTTCCTCCAGGATCAAAGCAGGACCCAGCTCGTTCTCCAACTCGAAAGCACGGGATGTCCGCTTCAATACATCTATGTTGACATCTGATTCGATGAATTCATCCAAGTCTGTAGATTGATCGGAAGTTGGATTGACTGTTGTTTCAAAGACCAAACTTCTCAGAATGCTCTTCTCGCGAAGAGCAGTTGGGTCTCTGCTTCCTGAAAGGCCGATGAGGCGATACGAGGCGTACTGCGTAAGAATTGTGCTCAGCGACCTGGCGGCCGTCTTGAAGATACCAAGACTTGAATCCTTGTCATCAAGATAGAGGCTGTCGAATTCGATGAGGTCTGGATTCATATTTTCGAGCTTATACGCCTGCTTCTTTACCTTCGCATGGGCTCTTCGCAGTACGCGGAGAAGGACAACCGAGTTGACCCTGAACACATCAGCAAAGGTAACGAAGAAGGTAGAGAGGATATGGGGACATACATCTGGGATATTGTCAATGAAAAGGAAACCTCTCCAACGGCCGTAACGATATCATAGTAGCCATCAAAGACTTCCCCAGATCCGGCAGGCGGCATCTCGAGGTCAACCTCCGGCCGGGCATTCGAGATGGGTTGCAGTATCTTCATGGTGCGGGGAGAACAATCAAAACCCTTGTCTTCGCAGCGTTTGCATTTCTTGGGCCACTGCCGATCCTGTGCCTCGCACTTCGCCGTCTCCAGTTAGCATATGGGCTCTAGGTAGATGGCTGACACGCACCTTTTGCCTGTCTTTTCGACATTTTTCGCATTTGAGCTGGTGCCTGGGCCTTCTTTGGGGCTGAGAGTTACTCGCATCCATATTTTGGGGAGTTGACACTTGACAGTTTGGGGAGTAGACACTTGACAGGAGGTTGACGAGAAAATGGCCAGATAATGAGAGATAGGTATTGACGCTGGAAGTACTGACGGGATGAAAGGAGCGCGGGGGTGGCGGAGATTTATCTTGACTGGAGGCTCTGACAGTCAACGGGGAAAGCAAGGTAGGCTGTCAGGCTCCATGTATCGTGGTTGCCTCGTGGTTGCCTACCAAGCCTTCCGTGGCACTGCTGACAACCTTCGGCTCCGAGATTAGACTATTCGACCAATGAGACTGATACCATACTTGGCCAAAAGAACCCGTCAGACGCCCCCAGTCTCAGACTGATAAGGATGGGCAACATCTCATCCAATTATATACCTATGTATCACACCCTCATCGCAAGTCCGCCAGAGCAGTCCCGGCACCTTCCTAGTGTCGTCGTAAATCTCTCACCAGATCGTCACCCTTTTGAATGTCCTACCACACCACGACCTAATGCGTATTCCGACTTTTATGCAAGTCTGCCTGGCAGTGTGGTTACACAGGGTGGGTGAGCTCCCCACCAGGGATTCAGGGTCATCTTCATGCCCGCACACAGCCGCCCTAGATAGCTTTGCTCTGGATCCATCTCTTCATGAGCCTCTCGAGTCCCACACCTACTGCATCAAGTGGAGTGTGGGAAAGGGCCTGGCTTAGGAAAAGGCGTGAAGACCTGGATCGGATAGATACGACGCTTCATGTTGAATGAATCATTCGCGCTCTCTCGTTTTATACATTGTGTGCTCTGTCTGCTGCCGTCTCTCACTGGCGGTCACTTCGTTTCTTTCGTTTCATCCAAGATAAAGCCCAGAAAGCAGTGTGGATATGATGAACAAAATAAAAAGCAATGATCCATGCCGTATCTTCATGCCGGAGTAAACAAAAAGGAATTCGGATACCGGGAGTCGAACCCGATGTTACCGCTACATGGGACATATTAAGATCCCTTTGCCAATTTCGTTGTGGGGTGGGGAAGCAAAAAGAAGGAATAGTTTAAAATGAGAAAGTGGCAAAAATCAGGTCGTGCCCAGGTTCGAACTGGGGTTATTGGTAGACGAACTACTTCAAAAACCAAAGTGATAACCACTACACTACACAACCGTTGATTAGTTTGCACACCGATAAGAATTGTACATCAGCCACGCCCGTTGCACCCGACAATCCGATAAACATCATGCGTTCCGATCGATTGTCTACCATGATGCCCATGAACTATTTGTTGTACATACCTCTTCTTTAGGTACTCACTACTCACATCAACAAGTGATGGCAGGGGCCAATACAGGCCATGATGGGTTGTATGCTCTCCATCCATCTCACATTCCCATGCGACATTAGTTCTATCCCCTTCACCCATTAATATGCACCAAAGATCTTCGGAGCCTACAATAGAAGATGATTGTTGCCAAGGGTGTTCTTTAATGGGGACGGACCTGATTAATCTATTGCCTCTTGTCGTGAAATTTGAACATACAAAACATAGTAGGTAGCCTTTAACAGATGCACCTTACAAAGCTGTTCCACTTACTCACCAGGTGGAGAACAATGTATCCTATTACTAATATCAAAAATGTGCAGAGCTCTCGGTCCCATAGTAGTAATCATGTGGCTGTTTGTTGTCGGCGCGATATGCAGTGGGAAGTTTGCGAATCCACTTTAACTAAACAGTGTCATCCACTCCTAAGCGCATGTTGCATGCCCCATCCCAACAATAACAACACCAAAGGCAAGGTGGCGGAGCGGTCTAACGCGCCACGTTTAGGAAAAATCCTAAATTCTACCTTGGAAAGATTCCGTGGTCTCGCAAGAGGCGTGGGTTCGAATCCCACCCTTGTCATGTGTTTATATTTTGCTCCTTTTGAAAGGGACTCTTGTCCTTTTTAGCTCTTTGGCGCTTCTGAGCTTTTCTTTTAGGTTGGTTCACATTTTATAACTGCGAAAGTTCCAATTCCAATTGGAATACCTCCATAAATAACTTATGCCATTGCTCTATGAATTATCCCATAATTCCCGTGAACCTCGGCTACCAGTCTGTAACTTAGCTTCTCACCTGTCCACTTCACATATGACCCAGTCTCCAACTCTTTGCCTTCGTCAGTGCCGAATCGTTCGATGGTATCGACAAGACCAGCCATGCAGGTCTCCATATCATCCGCGCCGTGGAAGCCCGCCAATCTCGTCGGCAACCATCCTGGGTGGACAGCTAGAGTAACGACGTGGGATAGATGGAGCTTTTGTAGGTTGATGGCCATAGTCTTGGTGAGTTGGTTGAGGCCTGTCTTGGAGACGCGGTAGCAAGCGTTGCCGCCGTAGTTACGCTCCACACCGGCCATGTTGGACGAGATGCTGATAATTTTCCCCAGTGGGGCCTTTGACAGGGAGGGTAGAAAGGCTTTGGAGCTTAAGAATGGCCCCTGTGTAGAGATGAGCGGTTTGTGTAAAATGGCTAGACGTGTTTGGCTGACAGGATGAGCTACGCACTACGGTGTTCACTCTGAAGTGGCTGAGAAAATCCTCAGCCGAATGATCAGTGAAGCGCTTCTCGTCCCAGTCGCTATAGATGCCTAGTTGCGTATAAGCCATCTTTCTTGGTGTTTGGGTGTTCGATTCATATCTTCCATCAGTCACAGTTGAGGATGACCTTACCACCGCAGTTCACGAGTACATCTAGTTTGTTGTCGCCAAAGGCTGCCGCTGCAGCGAGAATGGATGCCTCGTCGGTAAAGTTAATCTCCAGCGTGTGGACGCCTTGATTCTTTAGCTGTATGTTTTCAAGTAGCTGTCAGTCAACCATGGGCATATAATTCGATAGCCGGGGTTTATATGTATACTCCTGTCACTGAGTCATCGTCTCGGCTTAAGGGCCGGCGGTAGGTGCCAAACACATCGTAGCCCAGTGCTCAGAATCGAGTCACGAGCTGACGTCCAATACCGCGGTTTGCCCCTAAGGTGATGCGCGCAGCATCAGTGACTGGTGGATCGAATAACGATAATCTAACGAGTGAAAAGTGTTGACTATGTGCTGAACGATTGAGTGGGGAATTGCAACGTTCTCATGAAATCCAGCATTAGACCTGGGGAACGTACCAATAACTGGCAGACTCTTTACTGGTAGCGTCAGAGTCATGTTCAACAACAAGGTAGCAAGTGGTGCTCGAAAAGCTGGGTTAAACGAGATGACTTGGCCAATTAGCTATGGTTATGGTGTGGTTAAAAGGGTGGCTCCCTTGGATCCTGAAACACGGAAGAAAGGTGGGGGAACGCATGGCTTTATGGTCATTTGTAGCACGCCAGGGGTCCAGGCAAACAGCAAGCTGCAGATCGAATACATAAGTATATGCAATGCATGCTGACTGATATTCCGCTAATTAGCCAAGGTACCTTCTGTTTGGGGATTTCTGACCTGCGCTGGTCCCGCCAGAAATATCGTAGAAAGATATCAGGTCACTACAGGGCAACTCTGCCGCCAGATTGCAAAAATGCACCATACCTACCTAGGTAGATAACTCATCTTATATCGGGGTTCACCACCTCAACTCAAGTGCTATCTCTGTCAAACGCTCGCCTCACCCCATAGATCACCGAGATCTCTATTTGGAGCGTACTGAAGTGAGAGTTATGTCCATCGTTGGGACGATCCCACGCAAATCGCCGTTCCATCTCTCCATCTAACTCACCTCGCAGCATCTGCACAACAATATCCCCCATTACTGGGAGGAACTCGCAGGCATGGAATGACCCGCCACCCACGATGTACAAGTTCTGGGCGTGGGGATGCGCGCAGATGATAAAGTCTTGATTTGGCGTGAATCCGTCCCTGGAACACCACTTAGTCATATACGACAAACGGCTCAAATCTGCTGCTCACCAGCACATGCGATAGTATGTAGGCACCAGTTTGCTCAGCAGGCCACCATGAAGCTCTTGCCCGATGGTGCGCAGTTCATCTTTCAGCACCTGAGGCATGTCTTGGGACCACGTCAGCTGGCTGACCTTGGAGGGCGGGATGGACAACTTCTGTTTGGACGGCTCATGGTAGACATTGTTGCTGAAGCCAGTGTCGTTCATGCACTTTAGCACTCGATCGTCCCCAGGTGGGAGTGATTCGGCTGTATATAAACGGACATGGTCAGAAACCGCCTCATGTTATTGGCATGGACAACATGTCAAATTGTATGGGGGACTCGAACCTGGTAGAGTGGCCATCAACGCCATGACGGGGCTGTGTTTGAGCCGTTCTGCCTGAGGGCTCCAAAGAGACCTCTCGGCCGCAGACCAGTCGGCATTCTCAAATATGCCACCAAACCTTTGTTTGGCATCTGTCAGGTCAAGAAGATGAGAGGGGGCGTTACCCTCGCCGTAAATAGCCTCCCAGTTGGCTATGATGGTACGAAGGTAGGCATCGTCGTAGGCATAGAGCATGCCTGAATTATGAAAATGGCGGCTGTAGAGCGGGTCTGCAGTCCAGCTTTCCATGGAGCGGATAGCGAGCTTCATGTACATGAGGTCGCCATAGTCACCCCGGCAAATCTTGTTAACGTCGTGGGCGGCGGCATAGGGGCATGGAAAGGGGGTCCGGTCGATAACCGTGATGTGGGCGTCAGGCTCGGCTTTCTTGAGGGCCAGGGCGGTCGAGGCACCAAAGGAGCCGGCACCGATGATGAGATACGAGGTCAGCTTTTCCTGTATCGCCATGGCTGTTGTCGTCTTTGCTTTCATGTGAGTTCACATGGTGCAGTCAGCTTTGGAGATAGTAAGGTAGCTATAAATTAATGGAGCGCCCTGACCGTATTATAATCGCGGCTGCAGAATTGGACAGAGATCATTTTCCTTTTCACTTTTCTTACATTATCGGCTCCTGGTGCCTAAAGTCTCGCTATTTGGCTTAGGATGTACTTTGGGCGCATGACCCTTGCCCTGTATCTAGCTTGTAATGGGGTGCCACGTATCCACGCAAACCCACCTTTGTTACAGTGTCCGAGTTTGAGGAGACGGGTATATTCCAGACGATTGTGGTTCAAACGTTGGGATTCGTCTGTCTAAAGCAAACGGTATCCATCTATGCCATGACCTGCTGTTCATTGGTTCATCCGTAACGAGGGTGGCTCGATTGTGGTTAGCTCTCCCTTGCGTCTGTGTACCTACCAACATCAACTTTGATATTGTTCGGCGGCTATGCTTGCACTGTGGAACTGCGCTGGTGGCAATGGGCTGTATTATGTCTGCCCTTCGTAATTTAGCTGAGGTCGTTTCCGCCCACATTTTGTTCTGTCTATTGACATGCCCAGTTAGACACGCTTGTCTCCAAGCGGACCAAAATTGCGATATGCCTAAGTTCCAAAGCCTGGCAACGGCCAGACAAACTTCCGCAAAAACAGAAAAGCCCGAGTATTGTAAGCCACCGTGACATCTGTTCATTAATCATAAATCATCATAGACATTATCAGTCCAGAATTAGACTCCTTCTGTCGCCCCTTTCATTTTCCTTTCGTTCAAACTCAAAGAGTCCTAAACAAAGACCCCAAAGTCATCAACCTCCCTCCCTCTCAGCCGCGCGTGAACATTGATCTGTCCCTGCTCGCCAGCATCGATGGTCCGGACAACCCACATAGAGCGTGTCCGTACTTTTCGCCACGGAACATGCACTAGGGGCAAAAAAAAAGTCAGCTCTCCGTCATCCGGACTGATCCATGCTTTACCCAAACGATAAGACGGAATTTAATAACATACCTTCTTGACACCCCGTCGGGATAGGCTCCGTATTCGACTTCATGGGCATCATCCTCACCATACCCTGATCTGCAACACTGGTGCTGGCAGAAGGCTTTCTGTCTTCGTACATGTCCGGCTCCGCACATGGTGTTATTATCTCGTCCTCCATGGAGAGGTACGACTGGGGGTTTTCTGTCCATTTCTCATATTGAGCGCCTCGTAGCTGTGCGACCTCGGGAGGACATGGAATTGGGACCAAAGTAGACAATGGCAGCGGTACTGGCGGTGGGAGTTCTTCCCAGTATGGCAGGTTTATACTTTCGTTTTTCGCCACTGGCGACGGAATTATTGACATGGGCCTTTTGCTTCCGCTGCTCTTGCTGGAATTTGACCTTGAAGATGATACCGGGGACCGATCTGGCTCTCCTGAAGCGACCATGGCGGGTGGCAGAACACCATCAGCCCAGACGAACGCCTCCATTTTGTTCCACCTGTCAACCGCCGTGTCGATGATTTGGCGCTCGAGCGCTGTATCCAGCTTGATTCCCAACATGGAACCCAGGAAAATCAAATGGTGTGCCAACATCTGGCACAGATGCTCCTTCATAGCCAACCAGAGCGTCGGGCTCTGCTGAAACCGCTCCCCCAAAAGGTCCGGGGGAAAACTTGGCGATTCTGCCAGGTCAGACGAATAGCCCACTCCCAGAACAGTGCCCAGCACAAGAAGAAAGAGCACTTGGCAGTACTCGGGACTGCAGCGACCTAGAAACTGGGGTGTTAAAATGCGGTCGAGGCGCTTCATCAGGCGGTAGCCCGATACGTGGCCGGCGGTGCAGAGGTCGCGGCGGCCCATGCTTCCATCCTTGCCGCCACCGTTCCAGCCGCTGTGAGCGAGTGAAGTGGCGAGCAGGAAGCTCTGGAACTCGGGGAGCAGGTCGAGGTCGGCGTCGACTGTCTCATCCCGGAAGTGGATGGAGAGAAGGCTAGAACAGCAGAGACCCACGATGCTGCCGTTAGGGAAGGTAGAAGACGGGTCAGTCAGCCATGAGACGAGAGTATCGTTGAATTTTGTCTGATCTGATGGGGTTTTGAGGGGGAAATTGGCGGGCGTGGCGATGCGCGAGA